ATGATTCAGCTGTTTGCTGCAAAGGACAACAGAAAATGCCAACTGTTCTGTGATCAAAGGAGGCTCAGTTCAGATTCACTTCCAGTACCTTCCACCTCAGCTGACGATTGGCTCTCTTACAGACTTTTCCTCCAAGTGTAATTATTCCACAGGCCAGCTTCAAAATGAGAGCTAGTCAGGCAAGCTCATTTTCATTTTTCTGGCTAGGCCATGGTTTTCTGACCATCTCACATCGTTGGTTCAGTCTCCCGTAATGCTTTGCTCTCCAGTCCAGACTTCTGCCTCAGAATTACCTCAACCTATGCACTCTGTGCTCAGCTCCCTGCATCTCACTTGTGAGGCTGATCTGTGGTTGAAAGAAGAGGATGTCTAACATTTGGTAGCTGTTCAACAGGTCCAACTCTCAAGCTGAAAGCCCTCTACCAGAACGGTGTATTTGTCACAATGGAAGCAATGTTTAATGTGATTGAAGGCCCATGGAGTTCAGCCAATGCTGGCTTGTAATCAGGGTATGTTGCCATATTTGCTGCAATGTCTGTTGTAAGGCCTTTTGCTTAACTCATGGAAAGTGCATCTGGAAGCAATATCATTGTTTCATCCTCATATTCATGGAAGAACATTGTTCTAATGCTGGGCAGAACCTCCTTACCTGCAACTCTCCAAAAACACAGTGATGTTGCAACCACATCTGAAATTCCTGCAGCTTTGGTCCAGCAGCATCTGTGGTCCAGAAGGACCACGGATGTCATGGCTTTCCTGGTCTCTCAGTTTAAGTTGAATCAGGTGGTATGTTTGCCTGTTGTCTTTCCTGGAGGAACAGCGCCTTCATACTACATGTCAGATGAAGTTTAGCCTTCTATCTGTACCAGACTAAACCCTTTCATGCTTATCTGTTTGTGTCATAGACGTATCACATGAAGGGACAGCGGTCTCTTAACAGATGATATCTAAGTGGATAGCTTCCTATATTGAGGCTGTATACAAAATAGCCTTGACTATATTCTCTTAACAGATACAAGCTCATTCTATGCGAGCACAAGCAACATTAATTAAATTTTTGAGTGACCACTCAGTATTGGACATTTGCTGGGCTGCACATGGCCATCAGAACATATGTTTATGAACCATTGTGCTATTACTGCTGCATCCAGAGCAGATCTAAACTTTGGGATGTCATACTCCCCATTTAAGTGGACTTCAAGCTTCACTCGAAGGTACAGCTTGTGAGTCACTCCTGTAAAATATATGGGTAGATCTACTCAAAGAAGAGTGGTTACTTACTGTGACTGGTTCTTTGAGATGTGATGCAGACATGTATTCCTGACCCACCCTTCTCCTCTCTGCATTGGAATTTCGTCTCTGGGGCTATGTCTACATTGGCGCGATCTTGTGCCAGAGCGATGCAAATGAGGCTAAGCGTGGAACATCGCTGAGCCTCATTTGCATATCTAATGAGACGCCATTTTTGCAGAAGAGGCTCTTGCGCAAGAAGGAGCTGTCTACACTGCCTCTTCTTACGCAAGAAAAACCCTCTTGCGCAATGCTGTTATTTCTGAAAATAATCAGCGTAACAGCATTGCTCAAGAGGGTTTTTCTTGCACAAGAAGGGGCTGTGTAGCCAGCTCCTTCTTGAGCAAGAGCCTCTTCCACAAAAATGGCGGCTCATTAGATATGCAAATGAGGCTCGGCAATATTCCACACTTAGCCTCATTTCCATAGCTCTGGCGCAAGATCGTGCCAGTGTAGACATAGCCTCCGTGTTTGTTGCAAAGGAACTGAGAGTGGGTTGAGGCAGCAGCATGTCATACAGTCAGAGCAGGGCCCATGGCCATGATGTGTGAGTGCCACCCCTCTACAGGCAAAATTCTCTAGCTCCGGTTTAACTGGGTGTGCGCGCACACAAGTGGAATATACATCTGCATCACATATTGAAGAGCTACAGTTACAGTAATGAACTGTTTCTTTTCTCTAATGCAATAATTCTCCATCACTAGTCTGTGGAGACCTGGCTGTCCATATGACTCTGACTCTCCCCTTATTTTTACTGGCTAAACTGCTTCATAGAAGTTAAAAATCAGTTATTTTACTTATCCAGATGAACAGTTGCACTAGTTATGCACTTGTGGGTGGGAAAACAGGTGGTGTGTATAAACACTTCCCTTATTTTTAAGATGTGGCGCATATTAAACTTCTTTACAGTATCACAGCTTCAAAGGTGACAGACAGGTTCATTTGAATTGTGCTTTTACTTCCACCACCTAAGAGTGTGTCTTTTCTTCCGGTATTCTTCCCCTTTTTCAGTCTGTGTAAGCATTCAATGTTCCAGGTGCTAGTCACTGGGATTGGAACACCAGTGGGCAAGTACCCGTATTTATTGCCATGATAACTGAGAGACTAAGATGCTGAAGAGTGACATGGCGATAGCTGGAATGCTGAAGAGTGGAGGGGGCAAGAGGGGAAACAAATACAAGTTCAAACTCTCTTAACCCAGATTCTCTGGTCCTGAAACATCCATCATCCAGCACGGATGTTGTAGGACCAGAGAGTCCTGGTAGAGGGCCAGTAGTAAGGATCGCTGAGGGGCCGTCAGGGCAGCAGGCTACCCACAGGGAGCGGATGGTGGGGCCACCCAGCAGAGCTGGAAGCCCTGGTGCACGGCTGCCCAGGGCTGCTCAGAAAGCCCTGATATGCGTGCCTGCCCGGCAGAGCCATGGTAGCAATGGCTGTCCAGGGGGTTAGCAGGGCAGTGGTCGGGCCAAAGAGCCAGTGGCAGGGGTCCAAAAATCATAGAATCCTAGGGCTGAGAGAGATCACCGAAGGATGTCAAGTCCAGCCCCCTGCCCAAAGCAGGATCAACCCCTGCTAAATCATCCCAACCAGGGCTTTGTCAAGCTGGGACTTTAAAACCTCTAGGGATGGAGATTCCAGCACCTCCCTAAGTAACCCATTCCAGTACTTCACCACCCTTTCTAGTGAAATAGTTTTCCCTACTATCAAACCTAAACCTTCCCCACTGTAACTGGAGACCATTGCTCCTTGTTCTGCCATCTGTCACTACTGTAAACAGCCTCTCTCTATCCTCTTTGGAACCTCCCTTCAGGAAGTTGAAGGCTGCTATCAAATCCCCCCTCAATCTTCTCTCCTGCAGACTAAATAAGCCCAAATCACTCAGCTTCTTGTAGGTTATGCGCTCCAGCCCCCTAATCATTTTGTTTGTCCTCTGCTGGACCCTCTCCAATGCGTCCACATCCTTTCTATAGTGGGGTGCCCAGAACTGGATGTTCCAGAGTACTCCAGCTGTGGCATCACCAGTGCCAAATAAAGGGGAATAATAACTTCTCTAGATCTGCTGACAATGCTCCTTCTAATGCACCTTAATATGCCATTATCCTTCTTGGATACGAGGGCACACTGCTGACTCATATCCAGCTTCTCATCCACTGTAATTCCCAGATCCTTTTCTGTTGTACTGCTACTTAGCTAGTCAGTCCCCAGCTTGTGACAGTGCTTGGGATTCTTTCTCCCAAGTGCAGAACTTTGCACTTGTCCTTGTTGAACCTCATCAGATTTCTTTTGGCCCAATACTCCAATTTGTCTAAGTCACTCTGGACTCTATCCCTGCCCTCCAACATATCTACCTCCCCCCACTAGCTTAGTGTCATCCACAAACTTGCTGAGGGTGTAATCCATCCCCTCCTCCAGGTCATTAATAAAGATGTTGAACAAAACTGGTCCCAGAACCGAACCTTGGGGCACTCCACTAGAAACTGACTGCCATCATGACATCGAGCCATTGATCACTACCTGCTGGGCCCGACCTTCCAGCCAGCTTTCTAACTTGCTGGCAAAGAATATTGTGGGAGACCGTATCAAAAGCTTTGCTAAAGTCAAGGTATATCACATCCACCGACTTCCTTATGTCCACAGAACCAGTTACCTCATCATAGAAGCTAATCTAGTTGGTCAGGCATGACTTGCCCTTGGTGAATCCATGGCATGGATGACCTTCCCTAGTCTTGCAAAATCCCTCATCTGGGACCAGTCAGGTCCTAAGAGTGCAGGACCAGGGAGGTCCAACCTGTAGTTGTATTTGAAGATGTCCAAGGAATGACTCGGTGTAATATTTTGTTCTATGTGTCCAATCATGAGGTATCTTTAAGATGAGAGGTCTTGCTCCCCAGCTGGTATGACCCTTGAGGTTAAAGTTCTTCTATGCTTGGGCTGCAGGTGGACTTGCAGGAAGGAGTTCCTCCCTCCTTTCTAGGCTATTTTATCCATAGTAAAATATTTGTTTGGTGCTGACAATATGTGTGGGGAGGAAGAATACACACACATATGCCTCCATCCCCACACAGAGACTGATTGGGATTCTGAACTAGCATAAAGTATTGCCTACCTATGCAGATCCCTTTTCAGGATTGGACGCTACCACTGACATATACTTTGGAATGCACTGGGACATCATGAGGGGGAGGGGAGGGTTGGTTGGCTTAATGCCTTGGGATTTTAAAATCATAAACTCACTTTTAGATTCATGGAAGAAGTTCTTTTTAAGAGGAATAAGGGGAGGGTTATGAGTTCAGCTACTTTCGAAGTGTTCTGGTCTGTATGGGAGCCATGTGCTCCTCAGGAAAAAAGTCAACCCAGTTGGAAAAAGGTAACCTCTCTAATTTTCAAATATATTGCACCTATAAATTATTAAAACCCTTTCCATTTCTTCAGTGTGCATTATTATATTCATTTATAGTGAATATTCACATAGTTTTCTGTCCTCCAGAGATGGAAAAAATGAGTACCTGCCATCTAATTCCAGCCCAATAACACCATGAAATGATTTAATCCCCAGTATTGTTATTCAATATCAATGGCTGCTCCAAAATAAAAACTGAATGTATTTCTGGTAACTGAGGAACAGCAAGTGCTAGAGGTTTTAAATAGATGTCATATGATACCAATTATAGCCTGGTGAAACTTATCAGACCTGGGAAACCATACAAAGAGCAAGCCAAAATGGAGGGCAATTCCATACTCCATGCTTTTAACAACATTTATTTTGCAATTTTTGCTTTATTTTGCTTCAAGCTTTTAATTAAGATTTCTTTGGCTCTGCTGACCCACTTCTATATTGTTAAAGGAAACAGAAAAGAGGCTGCCAGGATAGCAGAAGAGATCTATGGAATAGCCCCAGGTAAAAGCTTAATTATCGACACACAAGAATTCAGCAGTATTTTATGTCTTGAGAAATTAGATTTTAATAACTGTGTTGCTTCACACGTGCATTCCATTTCCAAAGTCTTTGCAAAAGTAGCATGAGTTGGTATGTTTTAGGTGTGCAAAATGAGACTCTCTAACAGCTTGAGTGTGAACAACACTTGATTAAGTATAGTAAATATAGAACAACAGTAAAGTTAAAAAAAGAAGTCTGCTTTGGAAAGCATTGTAATTGCCAGCATCAACTGTGTGCATGACACAGTTTTACTGTGTATCCTTGTTTACAACCAGAGAGCATGTAAGGAAGAGGTTTAGACTGGATTTTCTAAAGAAAGGTACCAGGAAGGGTACAATTAAAGCCTGGCTAGAACTAAGTCAGTGGTCCCTGTTCTTTTGAATGAAACCATAAAAGAGAGCATTGATAAAATTCCTGTGAAACCAACAGTACAAAAACGATTTATATATAATGGGCCTCCAAAGATTCATTTTCCTATTTTTCTTTCCAAGTAGTTTTTTCTACAGACTTCCACAATAGTGCATTGATAAAAAATTAACACCAAAGTAACAATTCTAATTAAAATGTGTAAGTACTTGAAAAATAACAGCTAACCAGTTATTAATTAAATCCGGAAGACACAGTATTTAGTGACATTTACAATGTTCTTATCAGAGGCTAGAGCCTCCAACTCTGATTCACTCTGTATATTGCCCTCCTCCATGAATGGTTCTGAGGAAGCCAATGGAACAATTAGCAATGCAAGATGACAGCTCACTGTAAGAGTATCAGAATCTGGCCCAACAGTAACTTCTTACCAAGAAAGAGAATCCTCTGAACTGTATTCATGTTTAAATTCGACACTTTACACTCAAATTTGAATAAAGATGCTAATTACCTTACCCATTACAAAGATAGGTTCCCCAATTATCACCTCTAATATCATTAGCTCACAGACATTTACCTCCCCCCTCCCTCCATCCCCCTTCTGTTCTGAAATTTGATTTATCCTTTTCATATGTGTTCATTATTTTAATTGTATCCTTTGGTATATATGGTTGTGACAATTTTTTTCCACTATTAGATCTGAGGAAGTGGGTCTGGCCCACGAAAGCTCATCACCTATTAAACCATCTTGTTAGTCTTTAAAGTGCTACATAGTCCTATTTTTTGTTTCAGCTACACCAGACTAACACGGCTACATTTCTATCACTATTCTTACCAAGCTGATATAAAGAAGAATAAATAGTTATTTATACTAGGGATGTGAAAAGGTAACTGGTTAACCAATTACTGGGCAAGTATCTTCCTTACTGAGTGATGCTTACTGGGTAATGGTTAGCCTGTGCCTGAAAACAGCCCCTGCCCACAGCCCCACATGGAATTGGGAGCCCTGCTGGCTGGGGGCTGCTGCAGCCAGGCTGAAGCAGTCCTCTGCCCAGGATCCCACTTAATCGGTTAACCAGTTAAATGTAACATTTTACCACTTAACTGATTGAACAGGATTTTACATCCCTAATTTATTCCCACTTCTGCAATGCGTTAGAAACTCTCTAACGGTTTATTAAAAAGACTTCTGTTAATGTATTGACAAAGAGCTTATTATATGTGCCTTGATTTAAATTTAGTAAAATATTTGATCAATGGCTTTTTTTTTCTCCGCCAGTATATAGATTCTTTATCTAAGTGCATACAAAGTTACCAGGACTATATCCTTTTTTTTTTTTTTATCTGCAAGTGGCCATTTGCAAATCTCCATGAAGGATAATCTTTCAAAACACAAGGTCATGTGATGTTGTTGCCTGCATACTAGATTGGATTACAGATGCACTGTCACAGCCTAGCCTAAGGTAAAGCAATGTGGAGAGAAGCAGCAGCAGAGCTGCTTGAAATACTCTGTAGAAATTTAGAAAGGACGTTTCAGATATGCCTTTCATAACCGGGGAATTAAGAGATGCCCCTTATGGGAACTACATTTGCCACACATTTCAGGGAGGTATGTTGCTGTGGTGGCTTGAAGATACATAGGTTTATATGCATGTTCATGGTGAGAAGTGTGCCCTGCATTATGTAATGTGAAATGTGTAAATATACATATACAGTATATATGTGTGTGACATGTTTGCCTATGCAGCACAGCATATTTGTGTGTAATTAGAGGTGGAGGTAGAAGTACTATCTATCGGTTAGGTTGCTTGATGCTTCCTATTATATACCTTTGCCAAAGTTTTACCTGTTCGGATGGAAATTTCTGTCAGCTGTCTGTCTCAAGTTGAATGGAATACGTGTATATAGCGATACAACTCCACCAAAACATTTCAGCCTTTTTGGAGAGCAGGATGGGAGCAAGCCCCACAATGTTTCTGTGGTTCCCTCAGTCAGTTCCCTCTGGTATTGAGGTTTCTTTGCAGTCTCCTTTGGGTGGGGAGAGGATGCTTACGTGTAGGTGGCTGTTCTGGCTGGCAGGCCCATGTTCTGTTCCTTCAGGCAGGGAGACGGTTCCTGCCTCTTTGCCAGTCAGCCCTGAACTGGGCTCCCTTTTTTTATTCCCTCTCCAGGCCTGGCATTGGTTGTGGATATAATGGCGTGGGGCTAGCTAAGCCCAAAGGCTTGCTTTAACTCCTGCTGTGCTGTCTGTCCATTTCTATGCTTCACCACAAAAATAAGAAATTATGTCATGTGGGTGTCCATACAATCCCACATTTTCATCAGTGGGGTTAGAAGCTTTAGATCCAGGGAACTGAGCTCATCGACTCCTGCAAATAGCATAACTGATAGCATTAATAGGTTGTTGTCTTGTATGTAGGATGGCACCAGAAGCCTCTGAGGCACATACATTGGCAGTGGAGTTCACAGAAACTTACTGATGGCAGAAGAATGGAGAAACTCCAGAGTTTAGAGTTCCATTCCAGGCAATGGAAGGAAAACAGTGTCATGGACACAGACTTGTCTGTCCATTCCTCTCAAGCTTGACACTTTCAGCCCCTTCCCAGTCCTGTTTCTCTTCCACTCCAGGCTTCTTGTCCCAGCCCCATTCTCCTGGCTTGCCCAGTTCCAGTCTCCATTCCTCAAGTTTCTCTGCCTAGCTCTGCCTTAGTCTCCTTTTCTAGTCAGCCCCAGCAACCATCCCCTGGCTTCTGCTCAGTCCCTCTCATTCCCTCTCCAGTTCTAGTCTTAAGAGATTTCTTGTCTCAATCATCTCCTTTCCCTCCCCTTGCTCTGGTTTTTGTTTCTTCTGCAACTGGTCTCCTCCATGTTCTCTTGGTGTTGGCTGGAGGTTCGTTGGGAGTGCAGGAGAGACAGACTCCCTGCTCCCAATTCCAGTGCCTAGTTCCACCCTGTCCCAGAGTAGCAGGGAGCAGCCATTACAAGGAAAGTTCGGTTTCATTTCTGTAGCTGATGACTTAAGGGTTCATGCTTAGTTGTTCAGAGGGGACAGTGCCAATGTTTCCTCTAATTTTTTCCATCCATCTGCAGAATGAATTATGTTCACTAAGGCATGTGCAGATGTGTACCACCAGTAGAAACGCATGCTGCCAGCTGTGGCTGGTGTGGACAGTCTGCTAATGAGCTGGGCGGCATTTGACTTTCTCCTCGGTGGCCTCCCAAATGATCAGCTTACAGGGAATGCTGGATAGTGCACATGCTGTCTAGTCATTACTAGAGGTTATGAGAATCTCAAACCGTCTTAGATTACTAGAGGTTATGAGAATCTCAAACCTTCTTAGGATGGAATTGTCTGGGAATTTAGCTGCTAAAATCCAAAAAATCTCTACTGTTTATCATGTGCACATTGTCATTTTCAATAGGTTCACAACTTGTTCAAATTTAGGCACATTTTCATAAGAACAGCAAAAGGCCCATCCCTCACACACAAGACCCCCTGTTTTGGCGTAGTTTTCAAGTCCTTGCTCCAAAGCTTGGGGGGAGCTTCAAAGACAAGGTTGCCACAATATTTTATCATGGGCAAAACATTTTTTTCTAGCCTCATTCTCACAAACAGTTCATTCAAACAGTGATTCAACCTCAGGCAGACATCTGGCAAGGACAATTTCAGCCCAAACAGCCAAGTTTGGCCAAGTTATAAGCAGCCGCAATAAGGTTTTTATTATGAGAAGTGTTGAGCAACCTACAAGTAGGTGGCACTACTAGCTCAGCCTATAAAACAAGCTTCTTTAAGATCATCTATAACAAAATATCATGCAACACTTTGTTTTTTTCCTGGGAATATGATATGGTTGCAAACCCAAGGCAGAGTTAAGGCTGTTGTTATTAACGGACTGTGCATCATTGTCTTGTGTAAGAAGGTGAAACAGTTTGCTCAGCTCTTACCTGTTTTCTAACTTTATGTTCTTCCCTTAACTCTAGCATAAGGCACATTTTGGAGGTTCACTGAAATGTGGCAGCAACTTCAGTTTCAGCTTTCACTAAGTTTTTTTTTTCTGGTAAATGTGTTGTGTATTGTTTGTGAAAAATCATTCCATGAGTGCTGAGTGCAGGCTAGAAAGGCCACTCAGGGTGCCATGGCTACGTTCTATTTTTAGTGTGCTAGCTGAATGAGAGTGAGAATGGGTATGTCTCCTTGAGCAGGAGCCATGTCCCAGCTTCAAGTGCAGACATACCTGATATCTTGTAGTATTCTCACCAGTGTGCCCTTTGAAACTTTTTTGGGAATCCAGAGAGAGACCAGGTATCCCAGTGGTCAAGGTGTTAGCCTGGGACTCTGCACATGCAGGTTCAGTTTTCTGTTTCACCACAGACTCCCTGCAATCCTTGAGAACTCCCATAGCTTCCAGGCTCCCTGCTCTCAAGCTGTGGTTCTTGGGATATGAGCTCTATGCACTTCCGCAGAGAGCCTGGGAGACTCAACTTGAGAGGGGCTTTTTGGAACTTCCAGGCTGCTTGCCATTGAGCTGGGAGCCTGGAAAACATCTGGACCTGCTGGAGCCACAGGCTGTGCAGATGTCAGGCCAGATGGCATCCAATACTGCAGAAGTCAGGCAACTTGGGAAGTAACTGGCCTGAATATTTGGTAGCCCTGGGGACCTGTGTCCCAGGGCAGCTTCCAGGCACTAGGAGCATTAGGCCCCAGGAACCCAAGTGGCTGCAGAATGAAACTGACAAAACATTTACAGTGTCATGGCTGTTCACAACTGAACAGTGGTATCATGTCTGCTTCACTCATGATCTGTCAGGATTCCCTGGAGCATATTTTGTTTCAGAAACACCATGTTTTGGAATTTCCAAAATACAATTTTTGGAACCTCCATATTGTGGAAAATCTGGGGGGAGGGGAATGGTTTTGATGAGAACTGGACTGAAACCAAATTTCAAAATTTCCCACAAATCAGATTTCTGACAGCACTGATTGTGATGCAGTTGAGTTTTAGATGCTGAATTGTGGGCAGTAAATTCTCTCTGTCAGAATCTCTATAGATATGACAATGTCCCTAATGATCTGTTTGGCTGAATAGATATACCTGTAGGTAGTAACTCTGCTGAAATGGGACCACAAATAGAATATTTAATAAAAATATACAAATGACTCAGCAGTCTAGGGTTTGTTGAAGTTAACTTGTTCAAAATGGTGTAGAAAACAGGAATCAAGCAGCTGGCAAATGTACTTTTCTCCATGTTCCTCTGAAATCCTCAAGTGAGGAAGAAGGAAAAAACCCTGTTATCTGCTAACGTATGTTCCTCTGAAATCCTCAAGTGAGGAAGAGGGAAAAAAAACCTGTTATCTGCTAATGCATGTAAGAAGGAAAGGCAGTCTAATATAGAACACATATTAAATGTATTCATTTAAGAGAAATAATTGCTGGGAGCATATTGGCTTGATGGACATGTTACCCAAAAAGCTAAGCCAGTATTTGCAGGCACTACATCTCAGGACAAAGTGAAAATGAACCCACAGAGTAATTTGGCATAAAATGTAAGTCACTGAGGAAGTCCTATGGCCAAGATTTCTTTTTTAAAAGTGGGGATTGTGCTTAAAATTAAAGCTAAAGGTGGGATTTTGAAAATTGCCCCAGAGAGTCTCAATCAGGCTCACTAAGAGGATGGGCAACTGCCTCACCTTTAAAGGGACTTGAGCTCCTTCCTGGCTGCCATCACTTCAGGATGCCATCACCCAGGCCCTTTAAATCACTGCTGGAGCTGCAGGTGGCACTGAACGGCTGGCAAAGGAGGCTACCCTAACCCCACCCCTTCTTTCCAAGATCACGCCCCTTCTAGGAGCATGGAGACACACTCCACCACCTTGCTAAGTGACTCAGCAAGTCTGTCAGCTTCCCTGGTCTTAATGATACTGTATTCCTAACTCACAAAAGTGCTTTCAAAAATCTCTCCCATAAGGCTTTGCTTAGGTTCCTAAATAAGTGGCCTGATTTTCAAAAAAGCTGAGTGTGCAGCAGTTCCCATTGAAATTAATTTTTACTAGGCAATCCCATTTTGTTGGTTTCATGCCATAGGTACAATTTGCACACTGACACAGATCAGTATTCCCAAGTAGACAAGACAGGAATGTGTGATTTTTTTTTCTTAAACAAAAAACAGGACTATGTAGCACTTTAAAGACTAACAAGATGGTTTATTAGGTGATGAGCTTTCGTGGGCCAGACCCACTTCCGCGGATCAGATAGTGGAAGAAAATTGTCACAACCATATATACCAAAGGATACAATTAAAGAAATGAACACATATGAAAAGGACAAATCAAATTTCAGAACAGAAGGGAAATGGGGGGGGGGAAGGTAAAAGTCTGTGAAAGTCAAATTTAAGCATGAATGTTGGCACAGTGTCCATCTGCTATGTACATTGGACAAATGTCTCAGATGCTTTGCCAAAGAATCAATGCACACACAACGGGTATCAGACAGTATCACAAAGAAAAAACAGTTTCTTGCCATTTCAACCAGAAAGGGCATTGTCTCAATGACTTGATTACCTGCATACTGCTTCAAAGGCATTTTAATACCAGACTTGAAAGAGAAACCTCTGACCTGTCATTCATGCTTAAATTTGACACTTTATGCCGGGGTCTTAACAAAGATGCTAATTATCTTACCCATTACAAAGATAGCTTCCCCAATTATCACCTCTAATATAATTAGCTCACAGACATTAACCTCCCACCCTCATCCCCCCTCTGTTCTGAAATTTGATTTGTCCTTTTTATATGTGTTCGCTTTTTTTGATTGTATCCCTTTGGTATATATGGTTGTGCCTATTTTCTTCCACAATCTGATCCGCGGAAGTGGGTCTGGCCCACGAAAGCTCATCACCTAATAAACCATCTTGTTAGTCTTGAAAGTGCTACATAGTCCTGGTTTTTGTTTCAGCTAGACTAGACTAACACGGCTACATCTCTATTACTATTTTTTTTTCTTGTGATCTTTTGGAACTGTTTGTATTTTGGCATCTCTGCCTTTGTAGTGCCTTTGAATTAACTCTTGGGGTGTTTTAGGTTCCTGGGCAGATCGCTCTCCTCTTCATGAAGCTGCATTCCAAGGGCGCCTGCTATCTTTGAAAACTTTGATTGCACAGGTAAGAACCAAAAGTAAATATGCGGTGAGGCCTCAGGATTTTTTTGGTTAGGCCTTACCCAGGAATGATGTATTACAGTGGGCACCTCAAGACATAGAGCTGGGTTATAAATAAAACTATATACTGGACTCATTTTTGTCATATTACATGCTAGGAGTAAACCCAAGACAAAAGCCACACAGCAAACTGAATTATAATAAGCAAACATCATTGGTATGTTCCTTTTAGGATTGTCAGATGGTTTCAACAAAAATACCGGACACTCTTGACATTACATCACAATCTACATTACATCTTATTTAGAAAATACTGGATATTTATATTTTCTCATTTATATTGTCTCAATTTGTTTCCTGAACAGAAAGCTCAAATACTGGACTGTCCGGTTCAAAACCGGATACCTGGCAAGCTTAGTTTCTTTTCAAAGGCAAACAATACAAGCTCCGTAGAACTTGAACAGAAAGAAACTAATATATTTATTAGGTATTAATGATCAAGTATTGCACTTTTGTAAGGCTGAAAATGTACATGTTGCCTTATAAAGCAGAGCCAGATGTGTTCCCTTCCACAGAGAAGTGCTATATGCTCTCCACTCCCACTGATATTGCAGATCCAGAGGAGCAAAAGTGGGAAGGAAAGAAAGATTTGGGAGAACAAGAGGAGGAAGCAGGTAGTGCATAGGTTCAAAGGAGAAGGTTATAGTTGTTAGAGGGCGTATCCCTTCACAAACCCCTTCCCCCCACTTCCCTGGTCCTTCTCATGTGAACAAAGAACTGTAATACCCAAAGTCCGGAAATGCAAACAATTTGATGTTTATTGGTGCTAGCTTCCAGCAAGTAAAAATCCTGTTTCCTTTCCATTTTCCCTTGTTTTTTCCCACCTACTTCCTGTTTGTCCCAATGTATATAGTATTATTTTCAGGTGTACTTTAACCAATTATTCTACGGAAACGTAACTAACCAATCTTAACTTATTGTAACATGATTATCTAACCAATTATATCCCACCACCTTAATTGGTTTAAACCCAGCAAAATTAATTATACAGAAGACAGAAACACTCAAATAACCAGATAAAGATCATAAAGATAAACAATAGAGAGATGGGGAGCATAATAATGAAGCAATAAACAAATGAGGATTTCTCATACCCAAATACAGGTTGAATTTCACTAGACCAGCCAAACCAGAGAATGTGCTGAACCACAGGAGGTCAATATTGTCTGTCAGCATTACCAACAATTCCACTGCTGTTAGATGACATTTAGGGGGCAAATTAGAGCTAAATAATTGCACAGAACACTGAGATCCAGGACTTGTGGCTGTAAACAAACTTTATGGGTCTATGGGAAACTTGGCTACAACCATGATAAGTGGACATCAGGCTAACTAAAACCATGTAGGACCACGGATGTTGCTTGATCAGAGAGTGCCAGTCTATAACTTGTATTGTTAAGTGGATCCTTGCCACACAAAGCCATCAGCCTAAGTTTCCTTTAAATCTTCTAGGTTCTTCTCTTTGTGTGAAGGTAATAGATTGGATCGTGGTTCTGACAGCCCCAACATGCATTATTTCAACATGATTGGTTTGGAATGTGCCAAGAAGTGACTGCACATTTCCCAGCTCATGGATGCTCCTGCTGCTTAATCAAAAGCCTTAGCTCAAGAACAAGGCCTCAAACCATCATACAGATAGACTGTGATTTTGATTCTTTGTTTTTATACCCATGTAAGAATACACTTACATTCTTAAAGTATAGGCATAGGAGGCAGGCCTGAATATCTAGATCCTAACAATAGATAGAAACTCAAGGAGAGCAACTCGCCAAAATGCAACCTGGAAGGACAGCAGATTAGTTCTCCCTTCCTGAAAATGATCTGATACCAAGGAGCTGGTCAACGAAGTCCAAGTGCAGTCTATTTTGTTAGAATATAGGGGTAGGATTCCAAGAAGTGGGAGACATTTAAAATCTTTTAGCAAAGGCAGCCAGTGTTTGCTGGTTTGGTCACAACTTAGCGGATGTTTAGTGGAAGGAAAAAAATGTGTCTACACAGCAGTAGGTTTCAAAAATTCTTGGCATTATGATCGATCTGAGTCAAAAGCTACATTCTGGGTGTTTTGATTCCTTGCTTGCTATCACACTGTAATGGGATGTCACTCACCCCACATGAGTGGACCCCTTTTGGCGGCTGAGTGCCTGTGTCTGCACTCCTTGCTCTGGTAGCCCTCCTGCAACTCAGCCCTATCTGAGCCTTTTGAGCTCCCAGAAGGAACTGCCTCACTCTAGCCCAACAGCTTCCTTGTAACAGGCTTGCTGGGCCCTTCTTGGTCAGGTCCTTTGTGCCACTCTAGCTTTCTTGGAAGACTTCCCTGTGGCTTTCTGGGTGGGGTGTAGCAAAGCCACAAGTCTGCAGCAGGGACTTCAGGGCCTGGTCCACCTCGTTATAGATGTCAGCCAATAATATTCAAGATTCCTCTCTTCATTCTTGAATTATTTCTCACAGGGTTGTCCAACACATTCTGTGAAGAGGGCCATAAGGCAGTTTGAATATGGTTTATGGGCCAGCCCAGCAAAGTTAGGCTCATATCCCACCACTGATCCACAACAAAACAACTGTTGTATTTGCACAGATGAAGGGTAAAATATGACCATAATGCTGTAACTAAACTCTTAGTACCTTAACTAAAGTAATTTCATTCAGCATCACTCACTGGGAAAAATGATGCAAGACACCTTCAGGGACTTTGCTTTTTCTGTCTTTTGTTTGGACATTTACGTGCTCTCTTGCGGTGACTACACATTACAGGCCTAAAGGCTTGTTTATACTTATCAGAGGATTGACACTCTGGTGATCAAACTTCCGGGGTTTGATTTAGCAGGCCTAGTAAAGACCCCAACACAGTCACATGGAATAAGGGAAGTCAATGGGAAATCCATGGCCAACAGGAAGTTGCAGGTGGCCAGAGCTGCAGACATGCAGGTAAATAAAGTGACTAGCAGCCCACCAGGGCTAACCCTCATGAAACACATTTATCTCATGGGCCACTTATTTCTCACCCCTGATTTAGAACCCAGCATGATATAGTTACTGCATTTTGAATGTCAGAGTCTGGATTATGTTACAGTACATGTGCATGAACTCTTACTTGTCATTTGATGGAGCTATACTGTGGAAAACATACAGCAAAATCTCAGTCATGTTTCAGTCTAGTCATATTTCTGCTGCGTTTTCCTCTATGACTGTTTGCATGGCTAGTTTTAGTTCATACAGCTGTTAATAGAAGGGCTGTTTTTTATACAAACGCTTATAAAAAGTATTAGCTATTCAGCATTCTTTACTCCTGTTTCATCAATTTGATAAACAATCCACTTGACTTGGGAAATAAATCACACTCATGGTCAGAGTGCTCATCGTCTGGATAAAATATGTAGCTATGACATATCCTAGTGACCTTTGTATATCTGGAAATAGGAAATTAAACTTAATCACTAGAGGCCAAAGTAGTACAATATCTTTCTTGCAATGTACTATGAATTATGAAGCAACAGAGATAAAAATCATTCAGTTTCTTTACCTTTTGCTTTAAATCCCCCTCCAGTGGCAATGGATGCAGGAGCTGCAGTGTCAGAGTGATTGTCTGAGCCATACGTATTCCAGGGCAACTCTCATTGACTTCGGTAGGAATCTAGCCAGAGCAAGGACTGTAGAGCTGACCACTATGTAACTCCTGCCTGGAATGAACTCCAGTCATGATGGTTGTGTTGCTTGCTTGTTTTTTGTTTGCTTTTTTTTTTTCACATCTTGGCTCTGGATTCTAGGGATTCAATGTGAACATTGTAACAATAGACCGGGTTTCTGCTCTCCACGAGGCCTGTCTAGGTGGCCATGTTGCTTGTGCGAAAGTCTTACTGGAGAACGGCGCTCAAGTGAGTATGAGCATATAAATGAGGCCAATACTTCCTTGGGAAGTGATGAGAACTGTGGCAAGACAACTGGCATTAGCAGAGATTCTCAATAGAGGTGCATGTATTGGATGCTTTTCATAGAGAGCGTGTGTGTTATGAGAGAGAAATTGTGGCCACAAAAGGGGACTATGTTTTGCTCACATTTCTGTAGTGGTTGCCTTTCTCCTGAAGGACTCCACCTTTTCACAGCTTGGTTGCTGTTTTGATCTCAGACATGTACCTCTTTGTTTTTCTTCTCTGAAACTTCAATCTGATCGGTGCAAAAAAACGAGACCAAATTAATTATGACTATTCATTATGCTTTGTGCTTTCCAGAATGGTCAGTGGAATTGCCCCAAATTTTCTGATATAATTGAAATGTTTCATCTAATAAAAGCACAAAATTTTTCTACATTAGACCTAATGTAAAAATACCCTAAAAATAAAATATGAGAATATAATGATACATATGATTCATTACATTGGGTCTGTTTACAGCAGGGTGGGAAGCCTTTTTTGGGTCGGGGGCTGCTGACCCACAGAAAAATCAGTTGAAAGGCAAAAAACAACCTCCCCCCAATCCACACTCCTCACTAATGCTGACCCCGACTGAGAGGGAGAAAGACATTCTCCACATTTTCCTTGCATGCCAGTGCCTTGGGAGGCCCAGGCTAGTAGATTTTGTGTGCTCCAGCCCTATGTGGGCATGGCGGGGGGCTGAAGCAAGAGCTCCCCAATGCTGGGGGGAGCTTCAGGGGGTTGGATCAAGGTTAGCAGGGGCCGCATCCGTGGCTTTACACATGGCTTACTGATTACTGTGCTGAAAAATTTACATCTGGAGTGGCAAAACAAAATCAAATGAGCAGTCCAACAACTGATCTGTTCATTAACAAAAAAGAATATTAATACTGAGTAACCATGTTTGTACATTTAACTTATAACCCCTAGCCAGGAATTACAAACCTTGATCTTCATATTATTCAATTTCAGGTTATTTTTTAAATTACCCAGTTTAAAAAATAGAGCTTTATTGATCACATATCTTTTCAGCATACGGAAAGTCACAAATCAGAACTATCAGTTGTCGCCATTTGTAAGGTATCTTTATTGTTCAGCTCTCCCCATTCCTTCTTCATTGCTAACATACAGTCTCGGTCAGTCAGTATCTTTTACTTTACATAAATTAATAGGGACATGAGAAATTGTCCCCCATTCTGTTGACTTTCGTCAGCACTGGGGTGTTTTTCAATTTCTTTCCATAGACTGCCATTTAGTTTAAAACAATCTTCCCTGGATTCCTTCCTTTATTACCAGATAAGTCAGTTTCCATCAGAGAGGCTTTGCTAGTGTTTTTGTAAGAAGAATTGGCTATCAGCAAGGCTTTGTCTATGCTGGTGGAAAGCATCATGCTAGAAATGCACTCACTACCTCATTTTAACTAGCAATAGTGTCAACAAGGACAGAAATGTTGAAATGATTCTAGCAGGTGTTTAAACATGACGGCTGTGTCTACACTGGCATGAATTTCCGGAACTGCTTAAAACGGAATACTATTCTGTTTTCAGTTTTTCCGGAAAAGGAGCGTCTACATTGGCATTGGCAATGTAGACGCGCTTTTCCAGAAAAGAGCTCTGATCGCCATTTTTGCGATCGGGGCTTTTTTCCGGAAAATACTGGGCAGTCTACACTGGCCCTTTTCCGGAACAGCGTTCCGGAATAAGGACTTATGCCCGAGCGGGAGCAGAATAGTTTTTCCAGAATAGCGGCTGATTTTGTACAGTAGAGCATCGTTGCTTTTCCGGAAATTCAAGGGCCAGTGTAGACAGCTCGCAGTTTATTCCGGAAAAGCGGCTGATTTTCCGGAATAAGTGGCCCAGTGTAGACACAGCCGACTTGTCCTCATTTACCTTCAGTGCTATCATCATGGCAGTAAACATGTTTTCTAATGTTTTTGTTCTTACTGTAGACATGGCCTTACCATTGAATACATTGTCAAAGTGTTGAGCTCAGGAGCTGGGAGAGATGCCATCAAAACACATTAGACTGACTTTTACCAGTTTGGGCAAATCCCCTTGCACCACACATGGGAAACCACTCTAGTAGGACTTAGGAATCCAAGATGATGGTTGTCTATTCCTTCAGATATACTGTAGTCTTCATGACTGTCCTTGTATTCCTTCTGGATCTCATCTTTCTCTGGGCTTTCCCTTTCTCTAGAAGCTGAACAATTCCCTGTTCTGTACAGTTTCCAAAATAGGAGATGAGCAGTCTGGAAAAGAGCTGTAAAATGGCCTCTTTTTAAATCTTATCTATCTATCTATCTATCTATCTATGCAGTTCAAACAGATATATTCAACATCTTGGAAAAAAGTTAATCTTTGCACTCATTCATACGGCTGCATACTCTCCTCAGGTAGATGTTGGTGAAGCCGCTCCAAGAACTGGGAATTGATTGGCAGCATTTCATATGGGACTGCCAATTCAGCTAATCAGGCATCGAAATACAAGTAAGAACACTTAGCAAAGAAGCAACTCCTCTCCACCCAGTACTGACTCATCTGAGGAGAAAGGCAGGGATCCTGAGAAGGTTGCTTCAGAGTAAATGGCTTGGTATGGAAGGAAACAGAAAAGACTACAGCACTGCAGAAAGGCATTAGTGTACAACACTGCTTCTCTTAGAAGGCTGTGTACTTATAAAATTATATTTTTAAGTAAACAAAAATAAATAATCTTCCACTAAATAAACGCCTTAAACTAATTCTGCTCTAGAAATTGGGCTTGAAAAGAGACCAAGTTGGAAGCAGGGGGTCTTTGTGAACCTAGCTGCTCGGTTATAAGGAGAACACACTGAAGCTGTTCATCATTTTCCACTAGGACAGTTGGGATCCCCAATTCCCATTCTGTGGCACTGGCACAAAGGGCACCATGTGCTATCATACAGCATACTAGACCCACGTTATGCAGCAAGTAGCTCCTATTCAGCTTATGCAGCAGAGCTGCCCTTCTCTCTGTGACAAACCGGGAATCATGCAATGGTGTTGATTGTGAAATCTGATATCTGTGTGGCTTCTTGAAATGGAGAGAGCAGGAGATAGACAGGGCCAGAAGGTCAACACAAATGTTCACTGTGTATTTGCTTTCCTTCAAAGTTTTTGATTCAGTCAGAAAACTGCAAGTGTGTGGCTTGAGGTGGCTGAAAACAATTTTTGATGATTATATGAAAATTCTAAATTTTCCATGGTGAAAAACCCCTTCCTTTCAGTCAGCTCTCGGTAGGAGCTTGTACAATCCTTTCAGTCAGCTCTCGGTAGGAGCTCTTGGTAGAAGCTTTTCAGTGTCAGAGTTCTATGCTGCTGCTGCCCAGAGAGGTGGGGTAGCACTTAATAATATTACCCATCTCCTGCTGCAGGTCACTGAATTTGGTGGCAGATATGGATTCGGACATTAAATAAGATCAGCACCTTCCTAGTATGCTGCATTTAGCGTTGAGATGTGGGTGGTTTCCAGTGGAAGTGCATCACTTTTAAAAAAGATTGTCTGTCTATCTTGCTGTTTCAGGTCAATGCAGTCACTGTTGATGGCATCACTCCTCTATTTAATGCCTGCTGTAGTGGCAGTGCAGCTTGTGTGAACATGCTACTTGAATTTGGTGCCAAGCCCCAGCTAGAGAGTCACCTTGCTTCACCTATTCATGAAGCAGTAAAGAGAGGTAATTTCAGGGCTTTGAGTACAACTAACTATAAGTAGATCTGGATTTATATTTCCTTCCTAAATAAGTGTGGGGAATTAATCTGCACCCATGGGCTACACAGCTCAATATGAGTTCTTGGTATGCTGTGTTGGGGGGGAGGGGAAGGAGAGAGAGAGAGAGAGTGTGTGTGTGTTGGGCATCCTGCAGGGAGGCACTGATGTGACATGACCTCTCTTCTGTGTTATCCAGGTCATAGGGAGTGTATGGAAATTCTCGTGGCCAATGATGTTGACATTGACCAAGAAGATACTCAGCATGGAACACCCCTTTATGAGGCCTGCACATATCAGAGGACAGACTGTGTCAAGAAGCTTCTAGAATTAGGTGCTCTGGAGGCTGGGGAGGGGAAGCTATACTTGTTTGAAGTCACCACCTATTGTTTTCCCTTTAATCCTTCCCTGCTCCTGATATTAGCATTTAATTCCTCATGACTCCAAGTACTTTGAGGATGGGGTAAAATAAAGGATTCTGTCATTTGAAAATGATGATGAGAGGAGCAACGAAGAACTATTTGGCATAAAGTTTGCCATGTGACCTACATCAATCCCTTTTGATTATTATAAAATAAATAGCCATGTATGCTAAGCATTCACCCGTCCATGGCTCACCACATGCAGAAGGAGCAGATAAGCTAACTAAATACTCAAAAGATCCCCTATGCAGCAGGATCATGAAGATCCCCTATGCAGCAGGATACCTTCTCAGGTGATGTGGCTTGTTTTAGCCATTGCAACTATCCTGATTGGCATCTGCTAAGGCTCCGGTCCAAAATGGGTGTTACTGTCAGCCCAGGATAAGCATTTTACTCCTAGATCTTGATTGCAAAGTTATTTTAATTAGATGTTTAACACCCATTTTTTTCTGGCATTTGAATGGATCAAATGAAAGCTGCTATAGATTTTAAATACCCACTCATTTAGTAGTTAAAAAGTTCAGTATTGGGTCAATTCCTGTTGATTCGCTATCCTCTTTGTCTTACTGCTACTCTTGATGCTAATCCAGTAGCCATGTAACTTCTGGATATTGAGCACTGCTATACTCAAGAAAAGATGGCAAGTCCTGTGTGCCATCAAGTGCACTTCATTATTGATGCCAATGATGGAAGTCAAAGTATGTGATGTAAATCTTAGACTCAGCCAGTCATGTGTTTCCATGCTTTTTTCCTGGTCTATTCTTATCTGTGTGTTTTGAAGGAGCCAGTGTTGACTTGGGTAAACGATTGGACACCCCACTCCATGCTGCAGTTAGGAAATCCAGTGCAGAAGTAGCCAACTTGTTAATAGACTATGGTGCTAGCATGACATGCAGAAATGCGGAATTCAAATGTGCCCTGGATCTGGCAGCCCCCAACAGCAAAATGGGAAAGGTGCTCTTGCTTCGGGAAGGTAATGGTTCTTTTTGCTTTAATTGGACAATTTTTTATTTCCATTTTGTAAGTATTTTTCATGTTTATCATTTTGCTTTTCCATACACAGCTGCTCCCTCTGTTAGTTCTCTGAGATTCTCCATGATGTTTCAAGTCTAGCTGTCAGGGCATAGGAATGAGAGTTGAGAGACCTCACTTCAGTGCTTAGCTTTGTTATTGACTGCCTATACGATGGCAGGCAATATGATGTCTATATAATGATCCTAGTTTTAATGGATCCTTTAATCCTCAGTTTCCCATCAGTTGAATAAGGATAGTATTTATCTGCCTCTGTAAAATGCTTGGAAAGCTATGGGTAAGAAGTGCTATAAATAAGCATCAGGTATTGTATCTATTACTGTTGTTATCAACCTTATATGAGTCAACAAGCAAGCAGCTATTTTGCATACAAACCAGAAATCCCAATGAAATGTACACATCAATGGATGTAATGGAACTTATATGCAGCTCCTGGCATAAACAGCTACATGAATGTGTATAACTTGGCTACAATGAGAAAGAGGAACTTAAATCCAGTGAGTTATTCAGCTTCTCTGGTCACTGCTGTTTCATGAAGCTTCACAAAGCATACCGTTATAAAAATGAGCCTTCCTAATTTACCTGCAGTGTCTCAGAGTATTTCTGGTACCATTTAAAAAAATCTGTGTATAAAAATCCTTTCCACTAAAGACATGCCAATATTTTATCTAGCTCATCTTGCACCTTCCTCTCATGGAGAATTCTTGCCATAATGTTTTTAGCCTCCATAAGTTTATCTAACTATGGAGAGTAGTGTTTCCACTCCAACTCATCGTCTGAGGTAGTGGGTTTTATATGATCCTATATATATTTTTGTTAGTTACTAAGGTTGCATGGGACTACTCATTTCTGGAGAGTAGAAACTCTATTTCTACTTGTTTTTTGTAAAGTCAAACGCACATCTAAGGCTCTGTACAACTAATAATAGTAGCTCTAAAATACATGCATGGTGAGCTGAATTATTCTTTCCCTTAGTTATACTGTTTTATAGCACATTTTCATCTGAGGAAAGCTATTTGGGTACCTACTAATTTAATAGGCTAGGCCTAGTGATCTGTAGCATTCAAAATCTTCATTAGAGCCCTTCCTAACTGTTGGTCCGCTAATAGCTTTCATCTAATCCTCAGCTATTTTCTCAAATTCCAGCAAGATGATAAAAGTTCCTTATTTTACCAAAATTCAATTGCTCTGATTTCTTTCTGTGTTCTGAGCTCAGTATTTTTCTTCTCCTCCAAGATATGTTTATTTCTGTAACTGGCATCATACCCAATCTTTCCTTGTGAAACAGCCTGGCCAAGGATCTCTATGCATGTTTCCACTGTCTACCTAGAAAATACAAAATAAAACTGTGACAGGATTCTTACGATGCTGTGCTACTGTAATTCCCTGCTTGGGATGCTAACAATTGGTAACAAGCATGCAGGTCACACCCTGAGTTGTCTGTCTGGAAGACATCTGTGGCTCTCACCCTGTCTATAGCTCCATAACTAGAGGTAACACATGGGGGCACATGCCCCCAAATGCCACAGGCTGGAGGGGCAAGAGGCCAGAGCCTCTGGGTGGCCCAGGGGACTAGCAGGGGGCCCTCCCTGACAACTGCTCACCAGCAGTAGTGACTTGCTGGTGTATGTATGGGGGCCTGACTCCTGCTTATCCCCTGGGCCACATCATTTAAGGGAGTGTGCTTGAGGGTGGAGCAGAAGTGGGGAGGGGGGCAGAATAGGTGGGAAAATGAACAGCCCCTGGGCTGAAGGCATTTGTTCTGAGATAGGGATGGAGCGGGGAGGAGTTATGTGGCCACATGACCCCCTTCTCCTTGTCCCTCCTCAGCTGTCGCTTCTGGCTTCCACCAGCCTTGGTTACAACCTGCAACATGACCACAACACACTACCGGTCCTGAATTTTTTCCAAAACTGTATATTCTGCAGTGCTCTGTCGTCTTCAGGACATCTCAGAGAAGAAATATAGTCCCTTTGTTTTTTTTTAAAGACATAGAAGCACATAAAAACTTATTAACTGGGCCGAATATGCTCTTCTATTGAAACATAGCACTGAGTTGGTTTAAAGTAAAAATAAAACAAATGTACAGTAATTCCTCAGTTAACACAACAGATGTGTTTCTGAAAATGTTTGTGCTAAGCGAAAACGTGCTATGCAGGGTCAATTTTCCCATTAAAAATAATGGAAAAGGTGGGGGTTGCGTTTCAGGTAGTGTGGCGAAGTCAATTTTTTGTTGGTGCTGGGTCATCAACATCAACATTAGATATCTAGCAACACAAGATGCTGCAGTTTGTTAAAACACAAAGATAAATACGTGTGAGCAGAAGAGCACTGTGACCACGTGTGTTCATCCGCTCATGCGTATTATCACTGTTTTCACCAACTTATACCGCCACACTAAGTAGTCCACCACTTGATTGCGGAAGGCAGGCATTGTGGGTTACAGGTGGAAGTCCATTCTGTCGCCAGTCAGACAGCAGAGTCTGTATTGGCTGTTTGTTGGCAATAAAGAGAAGAGAAAAGAGAAACGTTTCTTGTAGGGATGGAAGTTTTATTGTCTCTGAAAAGGCGCATTTTTCCTAACAAAAGTTACATTACAGTGTGTGCACATGTTAAACGAGTAATTACTGTATTAACAATAGTACCTAGGTTAAGTAATGCCAAGTAAAAAGAAATAAATTTAGGGTTATAAATAAAACAAAAGTGAGAATGTAACCGACACACCTAGTGGGTATGGTTCACTGTCCCATTAATTGGTACTTAGACCACTTACAGCAAGAGATAAGAATGAGTGAGAAGCAGCTTTATAGTTCAAGCGGTAGAGGCTCCGCAGAGGTCCTAGGTTCAAATCCATCTGCAGGTAGTTACATGAACCCCCATCTAAAAACCTCAGGCTTACTCTAGCAAGGTACAATCTTTACATAACCAGGTTTCTCACCTATATTCAGTTTCCAGAAACTTCCACCCCCTTCCTTGGATGAAGGACCTATGTTTCTCAGCTTGCAAAAGTTCTGTTCCCTTAAAGCTGCCTGGACATGGATGCCAGAGATTACTTCTGTCCTTGCTAATAGTTTTCAAAGTTCAGTGAACTTGTTTCAAGAGACATGATAATCACCTATTGTTTTTCATTTCCTGTGGTTCTGCCATCCCTCTTTATATAACTGAAGCTTCCATTGTTTTGATTCCACTTATGTCGACATCCAAAAGTTGACAGAATGAAAATCACTAGAGGGTGTTTACACTTTCTTCCTCTGTCAACAGATCATGTCTGCATTGGGGGCATCATCAACAGTGTGAGCAATGCACCATGGGTATGTATCCCACAGTGCAGCATTGTGGGAAGGCAGAGCTAATCCCTACGCATCTTGGGATTCCCTCTGAGTTTTCCCATAGCCTCCTCAGTGGCACCATGAGTAGCTCTGAACTCTCTATGCTGAGGAATGTCAAAGCAGAAGAGGAGTCTGTCCCTCTCCCTGATTTCCTGCAGCAGCAGTCTGCCAACTTCTGAGTTCCTAGAGTGAAGGGCAGAACAGGAGCATTCCAATGATTTGCTCTTTGCTTGTTCTGCAAACAGGGTAGCACATGCAACTATCAGATACTTCCCGGAGGTTTGAAATGGGAGGGGTGAATGCCTGCAGGGCAGCAGAGATTAAACACTGAGCGGAAGGCAGGCATTGTGGGTTACAGGTGGAAGTCAGTTCTGTCACCAATCAGACAGCAGAGTCTGTACTGGCTGTTTGTTGACAATAAAGAGAAGAGAAAAGAGAAAAGAGAAAAGTTTCTTGTAGGATGGAAGTTTTATTGTCTCTGAAATGGCTCATTTTTCCTAACAAAAGTCACATTACAGTGTGTGTGTTTTCACTGTTTTGTCTTCAAAAGGCAATTTTGGCCACAAAACTTGGTGGTACAGGCAAGCCCACTGTGATATTGATTACCAGTGTGTATTAGCTTTTAGAAAAGACCTTGCTCTATAGACACCTATAATACAATAATATCACACATGATCAGTTGATTCAATTGTTTATCATTTGAGGATCAACTTCCTTGTCTTTATAGACCAGGAAACATTTGCAATTGATTTTGTGAGGTTTCCCTTTCAAAGTAAAATTTATTCAAACATTGAGAAAGGCAACATGGAGTTGGATTGTGGAAGAAAGAGCCTGGTGCTTCCTTCCTCATTTGTTATCTTAGCGGCTTTATTTATCTAACAGGTAAAAATTAGACCTTCATTACCTTTGTGGGAAGATAAAATGGTCAAAGAATCAAATTCACATTTCTTTGTCTAAGGCAACCTGTTTACCAACATTCCATGCCTGTTTTAAGCACACTTTAGTTATTATTGAAGTATATATGCATTACTTAGCTTCTGTGTACATACATTAAGCAAGAATATTAATGATCAGCAAATGATTAGTTTTCAAACGATACCCCAGGAGGCATATTTGTTAGAAAGATCATTACAACGGTGTGTGGGGCATAAATAGAAGGGTGCTTAGTGTCATAAAAACCCAACTACATTTTTGCACCTCCAACTTGCCTGATCAAAGAAAAAATGAAAAAGGTACAAGTAGTAATACAACTGGAATACAACATGCTTGAAACTGACAGGAGATCAGATGCATACATGAGCAGCTACATCAACTGCTAATGGAACAAGTCCCTTAGTTAAGCCTGTTAATTGGGACAAATATAGCCAACACCCAACCCTTCTGCCCCATATTATTTTTGCTTCTTTCTTAATTTATCTAACAGCATCCCTGTGAGTGCCAAATATTTTTAGTCTATTGAACTTCCTGTCTGTGAATGTGAAGGGATCAGTTTCTCTGTGCATCTATGGGGATTCAGTGGGTTAACTAATTAGGAAATACTCTAGCATTTTAAGCCTGATTCTTCTTTACGAGTGCCCCTTTATACTATGTCACGTACTTCTAGTTAGTACAT